TGCCCTGACTTAGATCAGCCCAGAGGTTGTTTCAGTTTTATGGAAGTTTTATGGCTGATTGTTACTTATTTATATAGTTGTTGACTTACTGAGTATCCCATGATTTTGAGTTCCAGGGATGAACAAGGAACTAAGTCCAGGAACTTGTATCTGTCAACAAGAACAGCAGTTTCATGTTGCTCAAACTCCTGCAAACAGGAAAGAAACTTTATTAGAAAACCATAATGTAATATAATTGAAAATTATGATATGGATTGAGTCAGTAATCAAGTACAGGGCTCAAAATAGAAAACTTTTTTAGCCTGCCACAGTAAAGGAGAATGGTAAAAGGAGGTCATTCTAGTAAATTTTGCATGTCATTTTATTATTCATTTAGCAGTGCATCCTTATTTTTGCCTGTCAAACCTGAAAGTTGTCCTGTCATTTGGCCATTGGCAGGCCGCTATTTCAAGCCCTGAATAAATTACAAACACACCATCTTGGCTGCCATATGTCTATTGTCTTTTCATTCTCTTGGGAACGTTTGTAAACCATCAGTATATAGCATACCTCTTTGAAAGTCTGAAGCCTTCGTTTTTCTACTTTTAAAATACTTGCTAAATCTCCACTTGTGGATTCAAATTCTAGAAACTTGGCCCAGACCTCCCTGAAACAAACAAAGAAAGATTAAAACATAAAATAAAATGAAATGAGTGGCTCTTCATCCACTGGATTCCAAGAAATTGATTTTTGCGGAGGGAGGAAATTTTAACCAGAGAACCCGGAAAACTCTTGAAGTACAGGAGAGAACCAACAACAAATCCATTCACATATGACACTAAGCACGGCAGGACTTAAACTCAGGTCGCATTGGTGAGAGACAAGCGCTCTCACCGCTACACCCCCCGTGCTTCCCATACATGAGAGTGGAATAGGAATAGAAACCACTAGGATACCATGAAGTCCTGAGGTTCCTTCTCTCTAAGTGCCGTACTTACCCAGACTTTTCTTTAGGCATTGTGTTTAGGACTTTCTCAAAAAGAACTCTTGTATTGTTATCATCTGAAAAATAAACAAACAAATGAGGGAATGAATAAATGAAAAAATAAATGGATGCACAGATGGATGGATAGATCGAAAAATGGATGAATGGATAAATTGATGGGCAGATGTATGGATAGATGGATGGATCTATGAATGAATGAATGAATGGGCAGATAGATGAATGGATAGATGGATGGATGGGCAGATAGATGGATAAATGAACAGACAAAGGGGTGGATGACAATATTCATGAGATAATCAGTTACTCAATGGAAAGGTGGACATATAAACAAACAAAATATTAATTTAACAAATGAATGGATTTAAGGATTTCTTTACCATTTAACTGCCTTAAGAAGTCAACATAAGCCAAGACAAATTCTGGTTCATTAATGTATTTCTGGAAAAGAAAAAAGTCAATGTATATAAAATGTATCCTGAAGTCAGGAATACGCCTCTTTACCTTGTGTGTAACGTTTTACCATTTTCAACCACATGTCACTCCCTTGAGAATATGATTACAAAATTTAAGCTGTATCTATATTCACATGTGTAATGTTTTACCATTTTCAACCACAGGCAACCCAAGTTCACTACATTTATAAGAGAATGTATGGGGATTTAGAATATGCCATATTTTATTTGAAAGAACGTGAATAAAGTGTTGGAATTTTTTTCTTAAATACCCTTCCAAACTAGCTGAAACTGCATGCAGGAGTTCAAAATAAACAAATTGACACAACAGTTAAGTCGACAAACTTTTATTGGGGAAACCTGTGACGGTATCCCTTACCTCTCATCTGCTTGTAATTTGTTCATATTTTTCATTTTTTTAAAACTATGATTTGATGTGAGGTAAAAGCTGAATAAAATAAAATAAAAAAGAGAATAAAAAATTCTAAATCCCCATACATTCTCTTATAAATGTAGTGAGCTTGGGTTGCCTGTATTTCAACCATGTGTCATTCCCTTGAGAATATGATTATAAAATTTAAGCTGTATCTATATTATGTTTTCTCAAGCACAACTGTTAAGCAAAAAAATGATACTCTAGGGAATGACATATGGTCTGTAATGGGAAAACATTAAGATCAAGCTATAATGTAAAGAGATATATTTAAATAAATGCACCACATTTGCATTACTTATGCAAGACCCACCTTTAATCCAAGCTCAAATATTTTAAATGCAACACTTTTGTCCTAAAAAAGAATCAAGGAATGAAAAATCAGTGAATTTGAAGGACACTGGCAATCCAATACAAAGAAACTGTGGAACTGAGGTAGCCTCTGTCAATACTTTACCTTGCCGCAATAGTATTCCATTAATGCTGATCCAACGAATACCTAAGAATAAGAAATAAGAATTAGCAATTAATATTAATTATTACAAAATCAAGTCCTTATTGATTTATAAGAAGTATTCAATTTTTCAAGGACGTTAGGGAAAAAAATAAAGTGCTTTATTATATCCATCATCATCATAATCATCCCCACCATTACTAATTATAATTATGATCATCTCCACCACAATCATCACCACCACCATCACCATCATCATCACCACCACCATTATAATCATCAACACCATCATAAACATAATCACCATCATCATCATCATCATCATCATCAACATAATCATCATCATCAACACCATCACCATCATTATCACCAACATTGACATAATCATCATCATCAACACCATCACCATCATCATAAGTTATCATTTTCAACACCAACATCATAATAATAAAAATCATTATCATCAGTCACTATTATTATCATTAACACCACATAAGCACCACCACCATAATAATCACCATGATTGTCATCAGCATCGTTACCTACATGGAAGTTCGTTCTGGTGTCTTCTCGTCCTCTTTTGAATACTACTCTACTTTCTTTTACTCCTTCTGCTCGCCTGGAGAATCTCATGTACTGAATATATGCCTGGGGGGAAAAAGAAACATTGATGACTTTATGAAATATCACAAATTCTGTTGAATACTATTTTCATCATCATCATAATCATGTCATCTTCATCATAAAGTTCCTGACATTTATCATCACTATAGGCCATCATGAAGCCACATAACCTTCCATAGGAGGCAGTTAAAATAATCATCTCCCAACAAAATTACATAAAATATCCATTAAGATATCATTATATTATTACCAGTGTTGGGTCCACTCCTTCTAGAGCGATGTACTTCTCATAAATTTCCTTGGATTTCTGGAATTTCATTCTCCCCTGAGATGACACGAAAGAAGAAAAAAGAATTAAGAGTCAAGTGAAAGAAGCTTTATAAAAATAGAAGCTTTTTAAGAAATGGAAACACTAAGACCTAGGATGGCATCACAGGGCTCGAAATAGAAAACAATTGTAGCCTGCCATAGTAGATAAAGAAGCATGTAAACTTTGCATGTCATTTTATTATTCATTTAGCAGTGCATCCTTATTTTTGCCTGCCAAACCTGACATTTGTCCTGTCATTTGGCCATTGGCAGGCCACTATTTCCAGCCCTGGCATCATTCCCTCAGGCATGTCACCTCTGGGGTCTCAGGTTTGATTCTTGAACTCGATTCCCGAGTTGTCATAAAATTCCATGTGTATTCTGTGTCCATGTCCATTTTCATAATTATTTTTGTAATATAATTTATTAATTTAACCCACTACAAAAATTATTACATTCTGAAGATGTGGAGATGTAAATATTACCTCTTCAAAGTCAGCATATGCAAAATATAACAGCATATTAAGACTCATTAAACCATTTATTGCTCTTTCATATAGATTAGATGCCTCGTCGCTTAGCAGTTTGGATCCCTGCATGTCCTGGAAAATAGTGATTGATGAGTATTAACATGATGGAGAGGATGGGTGACATTCATGACTGATGATTTGTTGCTGCTAAACTGGCAAAATAATGAAATTAATGCACATGTAAATAGTGGTAAGTGGAGATATTATTGGTGGAAGTGGTGTTGATGATGATGATCATGATGCATGATGTGATGATGATCATGATGCATGATGTGATGATGATCATGATGCATGATGTGATGATGATCATGATGCATGAT